CCATGGCGGCAGACTGCTCCGCCATGCTCGATGGCACCGCGGACTCACCACAGCGGCGAGGGATCTCCGGCAGCATGTCCCTCCTTCCTCCCGGGTTTCGGCACCAATGTAACAAAGTTCGTAGTCACGGGAAGAAGGAGGCGGGAACCGGCGAACATTTAAACAAAACTTTAATAAAATAAACACAAAATAGCGCGACAGCCCCTCGCGGACGACTGTCGCGCACAAACGAAACCAACACACAAAATAAAATCCCCTCTCTCGTCTCTCTCGTCCAACACTGTAGTCACTCCTCCTTTATCCTTCCGGAGCTCCTCCGTGAGACGTGAGTGGGTTAAAAGTTACGCCTTCTTTCTTTGCGTGAACATTTGGGCGGCGTTATGCAAATCTTCTCACATCGTGACGTAGACATGTGGGGGCGTGTTTAAATGAGGCGTTTTAGGAGGGCATGGACAAGTCTTAACTTTTATAAAGAATATCTCTTTGGATTTGAGACTTTAGTCTTTGTAACTTTACAGATCTTCTTTGTGCACCAAGAGCTTGTAACACTTCAAAGAGAAAGGAAAAATTTAAATCGCATCATATGACCCCTTTAATGTTATTAAAAGAATCCCTTATGCTCATCAAGGCTGTGAAATATTATTGAAATTTTAAATAAGTGTTTTCTATCACAATGTATTTTAAAATGTAATTTATTGATGATGATGATGATATTTATGATGGTAAAGCTGAATTTTCAGCATTTATTTCTAACAATTTGTTTGTGCAAAAGTTTGCAAAATGTAATGCAATTTAATGCAACCTTGGTAAATCAATCAATCGAACAATCAATCTTATTGACTCCAAACTTTGGAACAATAGTATGTTTAGGATTTTTTTATTATTATTATTTCAATTCCAAAAATAAAAAAAGTGCACTGAAAAGAAATTGTTCATAAATGTCACAAATAATTACAAAGAAATGGCAAGTAACTGAAGTAGATTAACTGAATTTTTTTTGTTAAACATAGTCCAATAATCTTTTAATCTTTTATGTACAACTTTGAAAAAATATTTTTTTTAGTGTATGCTTGCTGTGCAAAATAAGTGAGAATCAGATTTTCTGGAAGTCATGGAAAAACATCAGTCTGTCGATTGAGTTACATTCAGATCTTACTGGAGATTTCTATACTAATATACAAAATTAATCGTTTGCACCAATTGCAAGGCTTGGCACCTGAAGGTAAATACAAATACAAAAGTGGAGTCCTAATATTTCCCACTGCAGGTGGCCAGTTCTTTCTTGATAACGTGTCAGTTCCTCACGCTGGTGCTGGAGGATGATGGGACGGTGGTGGACTCCGAGTCTTTTTTTCAATCTCTGCCTACTAATACTCCATTCATGGTCCTGGAGAAAGGGGAAGCTTGGACCCCCAATAAACTGGTACGACAGTTATACATATATATATATAGAAATCTGCTATTGTTTAAGATACTTAAGAAGTGTCATTTTGTCTGTAAAAAAAATGTTTTTGGTAAGTAGAAAGTATACACTATATTTTAAAGTGCAAATCAGCATTATATTCAACAAGACAAAAATATTGTTGATTAAAAAAATAGTCACCTTTTAATTTGCAGCAAGGATTAATAAAATCATAAAAATGTAAAATTAAATGAATAGACAATTAAAATAAATAAATAAAAACTGAAGATTTTATTTATTTGCCTGCATATCATGTGACCATTAACCGACATCAGAGAACCACGAACATGCAAATGTGTTGTTAAATGATTAAAAATTCACTTAAAAATAGGGATAAACCCAGGAAAACAACCCAATTGCTGGGTTTATCCCTATTTTACCCAGCACTGGGTTGTATTTAACCCAGCATTTTTTAGAGTGTACTAGAGTTACTTTTGATGAAACAATCTTGTGTTTTTGCTCCACTAGGGTGCAGGCTTGAATTTACCCTGAACTCTCGTGACATTATCGCTCATTTCAATCAGCGATTTGTCTCACAGATATTTGTTCTGCCCTCAACGCACATTTGACAGGTTCTGCCAAGTTTCAGGCAGCCAAGAAGAAGCGGAATTGCCAAACTGAGCTTCGACCTGTACAGACTGAACCCAAAGGATTTTCTGGGCTGCCTCACCGTTAAAGCCACGCTCTATGAAATATACACACTCTCATATGACATCAAGTGCACCAGAGCCAAGTACTTTCTCAAGTAAGAGGTTCACGATAAAAAGTGGATTTCCTAATGCCAGGCTTCAATGATAATTTTAGAAATGCTTGTCTGGACAATCAAACACATACAGCTGAATCCAAAAGTATGACTACTAGTGAAAATGCTTCTTTCATCTATAATTTAATACAGATGTTTTCCCATTAACAGTGATGTTCTTCAAAGAGCAATCTGGGATTACTATGTTACAAAAATATTGTACACACTCAGAAAAAAGATACAATCTGTCACTGGGGCTAAAAGGTATATCTTTTTACCTTGTTTACCCTTAAATGGTAAATATATCAGTACCTTAAAGGTACATATTAGTACTTTAACACTACATATTAGTATCTAAAGTGTACGTATTAGCCTGCGTATTAGTACCCTCTAAAAAGGTACAGCCCCAGTGACAGCTTTATACCTTGTTTGTTACTGTACTAAAAGGTAAGTGACCGTTGAGATGTCGACCTAATATTACTCTTTTTTCCTTCTTCAGGTCTTTATTGCGGTGTTTCATGTACATGGCCAAACTGACGGGTCAGGTTCTCCTGTGCGGCTCCGCGTATGTGTTGCGGTATATTGGGGACGAGGAATCCTCGAGCTAAACTTCACGTCAGCTGGTGACAGATCAACATAGGGGGAAGAAATGAATACTGCACTCATGTTTAGTTTTTGCTTACATGCTTAGACAAATATCAATATATTTTTGTCCTTGGTAGCCTACATTATGTTTTATGTGGCAGAACTGCTTATTGCTAAAATGAAACGTTTGTAAATGTGTACTGTGAATTTAAAAAAAAAATAGTGCACTAAAGGTAAATACTTTGCATGTCATCTTTTATCAGGCTTGTGCTAATAAGATCTCCAGTTGAGTGACTGCATTTTTAAGACTTTTATCTGATTTACGTATCCATCAGAATGAAACTCCCAAAAGTCACAATTCTGAATCTTCTCTAGTGAGTTTCTAAAAAAAAAAAAATTTTAAAGGTGATAAACTTTTTGTCTCACAATTCTGAGAAGAAAATGTACAATTGTGAGATAAAAAAAAGTGTATCACCTTTTTTTGTAAAATGACCTTTTTAATTTTTTTAATCAGCGGTGGAAACAGGCTTCCATACAAAATAGTTAATACAGATCAGGTTTTTGATTTTGCCAGAGTTAGACATATAATTGTGTACCACACGTCTCAAATGTATTCTGGCTTCTCTGAGGACAATTTTATGTATCAAGTGTACAAGAAGACAATATAATAAAAAAGACAAAATTCAGTGCAAAATTGACAGGAGAGCGCGTCATCATGATTCAGTTAAAGTTGAGATAAAAATCAAGCTCTTATCTTAAAGACAGAAACTGCTCAGAGTGTTGGAAAGGAAAAATACAAGTAGCCTACCTAAGTATGAATGTCTAAAACAACACATTTAGGTTACACGGCTTACTCTGGAGAGCAGCAGAACGTACATTATTTATATCAGAATATATATTATTTTGCAAAGTAATGCAGAATCGGTTTCTAGAAGAGAGAAATGACAGCACACGTGTGATTGTGCAGCTGATATGTCATTCAAATCCCCACCAATCGTGGCAGAGGCAGTGAAAGCTGAAGATCGTGTGTCAGACTGAGCTCACCATCGGTCTGCAGCAGAGCCAGAGCTCATTCAGAGGAGCATCTTCACACACCTACAGCAATGAGGGAGATCGTGCACATTCAAGCCGGACAGTGCGGCAATCAGATCGGAACAAAGGTTAGTTCAATGTATTTTCTTTTCCTATCACACTATGTGTCGTTTTAAAACTTTACATTTTGCATTTACAAAAACTTTTTAGCGTACTGATGAATACAGCCCTTAAGCCTATATGTAGAGAGAGAAATTAAACTTTGGGGAATTTTTGGGGAAAAAAAGTACCTGAAGGCCCATAATGATTTTCAGTCATGCCAGTTCTCCAACGAACTTACTGAGTCTACAGTAAGAAACACATCGTTTTTAGTGAATGCGCGAAATATAAGCTATAGCTTGATTCTTTTTGTAGTTCGGTTCTTTACAGTGAATCCAAACGTATTGCGACCAGTGCGGTTCGATTCTCAAACAAATTACTCGTTTGATCCGGTTCTTTACACTGAATCAAAACGTACTGCGCGACCAGTGTGGTTCGACTCTCAAGAAAATGATTCATATGATCCGGCTCTTTTCAGTGAATCCAAACGCACTAAGCGCGCACTGTGTTTCGATTCTCAAGCAAATGATTCATACGATCCGGTTCTTTACAGTGAATCAAAACGTACATCGCGACCAGTGTGGGTTGATTCCCGATCGTTACTTTTTAGTAATTGAAAAACAGTCCTATTTCCGACTCTTACGATCCAGTTCTCCTTTGTGAATTAGTTTTTCTAAATGTTTCCTCTAGTGTAAAAAAAAAATCGTGATATTTAAGAGGACTCGAAACCAGAATCTATCAACGAATCCCATCGCTACAGTTGGTTATATCTAAATGTAGTTTGATCATACTTAGTGTCCTTAAATGTGAGCAACCCTTTAGTCATGACAAACAACAAACCGCTATATTTTAAGGGCACGTCGGCTGCATATGGGTGTGTCGAGATGCGTGCTGCTGAGCGCGAGTATGCGGAGAATCTGAACCCTCGCTTTATCTCACTATCTGAAATGATATCTAAACTAACGCAAAACCACTGTGACACATCTAGTTCTGGGAAGTCATCAGCGACGAGCACGGCATCGATGCAGCCGGCAACTATGTGGGTGACTCAGCGCTGCAGCTTGAGAGAATGAATGTATACTACAACGAGGCGTCCTGTAAGTATGCTGTGTGTGTCAGTATGAATCAGTGTTCTTGCCTCCCCCTCACAAACTCACAATGACCTTCAACTTATGAACGGTGCAGTCAGCTCAGAGGAATTTCCTGGGCTGCTCGGACTTCACCAGCATGTTTTATTAAACGATTTACATTAATTAAAAGAAATATGAATTCATTTATAAATTCTATGTTGATTATTTTATTATAAATATATTACATTTCTATAATTAATTTATAAATTATTTAATTCATGTGTCATCTGTTTTAGTGCTAAATTTCCAGAACATAGCTTTTACAGCAAACAAAAGCTTTTTTTGTGTGTATGTGTGTGTGTTTAGCTCACAAGTATGTTCCCAGAGCCATACTGGTGGACCTGGAGCCTGGAACTATGGACAGTGTTCGTTCTGGGGCATTTGGACAGCTGTTTCGACCAGACAACTTCATCTTTGGTACTGTGTCAACATGTCAAGCTGTAATTTTTTTCAGCTAGCTGACTTATTACTTGTAGGACCATTAGCTTCAAGCCAAAGAATGCATAAAAAACACATATACATTTTTTTGGTGTGCACGTTATGCTTTGCCCACTTTCCTAAAATCCTGTATGGTAGGGATTACGCGTTTTGACCTCGTTCCCTTCCCCATAGCGACCCCTAGAGGACGCAGTGTCTCGTTCCCTACTCAGGGAACCATGGTTACATAAGTAACCTGAGACGTTTTCTTTGAACACACTTTTATTCCTTCAAACAAAATTAGTATTAAATTAATTTAAATTAATCTTCTTTTGATCTATATTCATGATCACATAAGATGAGATTCATTAATGAGACTAATCAAATCTGGCTTATTCAATTTTTCTCTGTTATATTTTCTCTCTCCCAACACTTGTTTTGAATGTATATTTTGAAGTCAGATCCCATTTGAAGCTGATTTTATGCAAACATAATACTGACGGCACTACAGTTCATAGGTTATTTCTTTGTGTCTGTATAGACATCAACCTAATTTTCCACAGTGCTGCTTTTTGGAAAAACAGAAAATAGTTATACATAGTATGAAGAGTAATAACGAGTAAGATTTTAGTTTGAAAGAAACATCTACACATTTTTTATTGTTACTATTTTCCTATAATAGTAAATAATTTAAATTATGCATTACCACAAATGGCGTAGGTAATCACAGCGTGCTGATATACAGCCATATCGCATGGCTACGAGTGTGATATTGCGTTTATACAACAGTTCGATGGAACAAGTGTGTAAATGAATAAGAAACAACAACAGAGTGTCTTTAAAAACCCTCTTTTGTGCAGAACTACTTCCTTCCGCCACGGATTGAAATCTCAGTTTGTCAGTTTAACAGCTGAGCTCAAGCTTCCATTATTAATTCGAAAATGTTGATTAAACGTTCATGAGCGTTGAACGGCCGCTGACACCCTGGAGCTCACATCTCCAAAAACGTCGAGGCACGTTTTCAAGTAGATGTTATATTAACAAACCGCATATTTGAAGTCTAAACAACTACATTCTCGCCTAAAAAAACTCGAATATCGCACCGCTGGAAAAGGCTCTCAGCATTCGAGAACCAGAAAGAACTGCTGTACATATATAGTATACATAGGTATAGTTTTGTAGTTTTTAATTGTAGTTTATTCAAAAATTTTAATTTGTTATGTTGTTATGTTATGCTGCTCAAGAAACATTTCTTATTATTATCAATGCTTCATATTTTTGTGGAAGTACCATTCAGAAGTTTTTTTTAAAGAAATTAATACTTTTATTCATCATGGATGCAATACATTTGTATTTCCAATTAATGCTGTTCATTAAAAATATGAATGAGTAATTAATAAATTAATAATTGAGCACCAGTAATAACTGACAATAATTGAGATTCTTTCAAAAACATGAGAAAATCTTAATTATTCCAAGCTTTTTACTGGTCATGTAGATCATGAGGAACTATTAATTTAGTGTCCAAATATATAGCTGGCAGTGTAAATAAAACAGGCACAATGTTCTCTCATTAATATCACTTCCAAAACTAGTGTGGACAGCTTTTATTTTGAAATGAAGAAATGGATGACTATACATTTCATTTTTTAATGACATTCCACAGACATAATGCATCTTGAATGCATCCCAGGAATGAACATAAACGTCACATAGGCAATGATGAATGATGCACAATTGCTACACGGTTCCCAATAGCCAGTCACTGAAACGATTATATTTTGTTTTCATTGCAAACCAGTCTTCTCTTATTGCATTGCTTTTGCAGGACAGACAGGTGCAGGAAACAACTGGGCCAAGGGCCACTACACGGAAGGAGCCGAGCTGGTGGACTCAGACGTTAAAGTCGCGGTGTGCGACATCCCACCCAGGGGACTTAAGATGTCCTCCACTTTTATCGGCAACAGCACCGCCATCCAGGAGCTCTTCAAGCGCATTTCTGAGCAGTTTTCGGCAATGTTCAAACGCAAGGCCTTCCTGCATTGGTTCACCGGAGAGGGAATGGATGAGATGGAGTTCACCGAGGCCGAGAGCAATATGAATGACCTGGTGTCGGAGTATCAGCAGTACCAGGAGGCTACGGCCAACGATGGCGAAGAAGCATTTGAGGATGAAGAGGAAGAGGTGAACGAATGAACGACAGATGCAGTTTTGCAGTTTTTTGGTTGTTTTTTAAGCTGTGATTTTTACGTTTTGTATGTGGATGACTGAAGTCCTAGTAAACAAAGCGTGCTTGCAATAAATGCTTTTTGAGGACCACATACACTTGTACTGTCTAAGTGAATATTTTTGGTTTTTGTAATTTGCTACACTTGGACTTGAAATACACTTGGAATTTATTAATGTGGCTATTCATGATAAGTATTGAACTGTTACAATCAAATTATTAACTTAACACCACTCAAAAACGTCTTCCAAAATGTAAAAATCTAGTTGAGGATTTAACATTTCCTTTGTGAAAAAGAAGTGCGCTTAATTGTATTGAATGTTCACTTAGTGTACTTCAAATCTTAAAAGTATTTTTTTTCTAGTAAAAGCAGTTTTTACAATACAAAGCTGTATTTGCAAATATTATAATATTAATGAAATAAAAGACCACTTAAAGAGAGACACTTCCACGACTGTTTCTTGACACACTTAAGTACACTTTTAATTTTTTTTACTTTAAAATACATTTTAAACCATTACGTTTTAATAATCTTTATTTTGATGTGTTGACTAACATACTAAAGCACATGCAAATATATTTTTTACTATAGTGTTATTTGATACTACAATTAAAGTTAATATATTTTAAATGTATTAAATTGCAGCTTTATCATTACAAATGTGCAATTATGAATATATTTAAATACATGACATACAAGTTTCAATAGAAATTACATTAAAGTATATTTTAGTTTATCATAAATACTTGTCAGTACTTGGCAGTAACCATATTTTAAAGGCAATAGAATAATGAAATTACATATACAGTAAAGATGCACTTAAGTCCTACTTAAGTGGGTCAAAAAAAGCACTGTAAAGTTAGCTTAATTGTGTTTAATATCAATTTAAACTATGATGCATTTTCATTCAATTGCAATTAACATGCAATTTTTCGCACTTAAGTATATTCCTTCAAATTATATTATTTCCGTAACAATGTATGATAAAGTGTATTTCCTTCTCTTAAGAGTTGGAGCAAATAATATTATATAATGTTGCACATGAATAAATGTTCAATAAAAAGGTACACAAGCTGTCACTGGGGCAGTACATTTTCAAAAGGTACACCTTTATACTGTAATTAATTACCACTAAAGGGTGCATTTTGGTACATATTACTACCTAAACTGTTCACATGAGTATCTAAACGGTACATATTAGTACCTTTTGAAAGGATACCATCCCAGCAACAGCTTTTGTACCTTTTTTTCTGAGAGTGTAGTCAAAGAGATTTGACTTGCCTCGAGTTCAAGTTGAGCTAAAATCCTATGGAGGATAGGTGAAGTTAAAGCCAGTCATTCTGAATAACACATGCTTTGTTCATATCCGCTTGTGTCTCGTAACACACAGGCTCTTGTTCCAGCCTTGGACGCAAATCCTGCTCACTCAAACTTCTATTATTCTCAACAGCTGCTGAGCAAGCCGTTCTACACTTAGCAGCATGTAGCTAACAATAGAGGAAGTCCAGTCTCGACACAACTATTTAGAGCACAGTATTAGCAAACACAAAGGGCTTTCAGCTGGATATTGTGTACCATCAGACGTAAGTTCTGTAATAGGAGTGATTTACGGAAGCTTTTCAAATTTGAATTTTAATCCTGATCTCTGGACTACGCGTGTAAAGAATTCGAAGTCGAGAAGCCATATGGGAAAAAAAGGAATTGTTAAATTAGTCCTCCATAAAATGAAAAGAAAATTAAATGAATTAAATTTAAATAAAATAAGCGAAAATGGAAAAAGATCAAATAAAACAAATGTGATAATTTATAAAGTTAATATTAACTCTATAATTAATAATTATATTAAAGTACTAAACATTCAGTTACTGTGAATAGTGCAATAAAATACTATTTTAAAAATAAAATTTTAGTTGTTAAAAAAATGTTAAACTGTTAAATATTTTAAAATTTAATTTTGAAGTACATGAAAACATTTATGGTTATTTTAATATATATTATTATTTAATTACATTTGTAATTAAAAAAAGTTTGTATATATGTATTTTATTGTCAGTTTGCAAAGTGATTTATATTTTTATTTTCCAATTATTAATTCACTTCCTCACATTTTGGCGATTTCTAGTTGCTAAATAATTGAATAAAGTTAACATATTTTTTTTTTTTTACATAACATTAAGTGCTATATAATTATAAAATAAAATAATAATATACTATAATTAATTGTATTTCATTTTAAAAATAAAATCATGTTTGCATATATGTATTTTATTTTCAGTGATTTATATTTTAAATAATTGCTTCATATTTTTGCAGTATGTGTCTCTGCTGTTCCCCATAAGGCTAAAAGAGTGATACAGTCCTTTCACAAAAAACACAAAAGGTCCATGTGTGTGATATTTGGAAACATGAAATGGTTATTCGCAGGATCATGAAAGGCCGGTGCAGCTGGACGCAGGGGTTTAGAGGTCTTACTTTGGTATGTTTAACAGCTGCAGTCGACTCAGCTGAGAGGAAACTGGGTCAGAGTGTCTCGCTCACATTTCCGTAAGAACCAAAACGCCAAAACCTCCACAGTCCCACGATAAGATAGTAATGTCTATTAGTGACTTTTTTTTGCAGTCATAAATATAGGCCAATAACCCAGTTAATGTGTTCTGTATTCCATATTCATGCTGGAAGTTCCAACAGTTTTTAGCCGCAGTATTACTAACTCACTGTCAAAGCATGTGGGAGTGTGTCACAGCATGCCCAATAAGGCTTTGAAAATGTATCTGGAATCTACTGGAGTCTCATTTGTTTAAAGCAACTAGACATCCTCAGATAGATTCGATGTCGATGCTTAGCCTAGAGATGGATGCAAAGAAACACTAACTATGCAAAGTGTCTGCTTAAAATGCATGGTTAGAAAATATATATAGCCTCATGTGCCTAAACATTTATATAACATAAGGCAGCATCATGAACACGATGCCGGACTGGCACAGATTCATGTTTCCAAAAGAGCTGCCGTCTGCAGGCTTATTTCACTTCAGGTCATATTTACGGCTCTTTTCAAAATGTTTATACAAAGGCAAACTGTATTCAGTTAGATCATTCCTTATAGTAACAACACGGCAAACAGGACCGCAAACTAGACACACTCCAGACCTTTCTATTCATCCCATTCATCCAAGTCCCTTATATATTAGAATAGCACAGATTAGAGTTTGCAGAGTGTGCCATGAGGTGTAGATCAAACTTTTGCATTCTGTTATGAGAATGTGTCTCGCCTGCATCGGATTTCTGAGCGTCATATCATTCTATCAGCATCCTTAATTCATATTTCATATCACTGTGGATTATTTTAAATACAAATATTTTATAGTGGATGTTGCAATTAAAAATATAAAAAAATTAAAGTGAAAAATGATCAAAATTGAATTACTGCATTTGTTTTGATAAAGAATACATATGTAAAATATAATATTAGGACTTAATAATCAGCTTCTCAAAAACTAGGGTTGATCCATTTAAAATTAAACACAACACTGACATCATCTGGACAGCACAAGAAAAACTCAAAGGTCGACTTGACTGTGCTTTTAAATTTTGGCTGGTTGCTAGGCTGTTTGATGTGGTTGCTTAGTAAAAATAGTCCCCCTTGAAGCCTCTATCCATTTTTTTGGTAAGTAAACAATATGACGTACATCATTTGAGTATGTGCGATTTTCCCCCATGCAAATGAATATAATTGCAGATTCAGTACACTTACGAAAAAGAAGTTTATTCAAGTGTGCTATTAGTATACTTCTTTTAAACTAAAAATAGGAAAGTATACTTTTAGTCTACTTTTTATGTACTTCTCAGAAATATACTTAATAGTTTTATATACTAGAAAGTGGGCCAATTTAGTCCCAAGGAGTATTGAAATAGTACACTTACAAGTATACTACTAGTACACTGATATTTGTATACTTACTACATAAAGTATACTTAAAAATATACTTGAACTTTACTTAAGTATACTTACTAAAATAAACTTGAAGTATACTACTTTTTGGTAAGGGTAAGCACTGTTCATATTTACCCTAATCTTTCGTTTACATGGGCATTTGCATTTATTCATAACAAATTGCCTTTTTAATAAATGTTTTGAAAAATATTCAGTTTCCTCCACTGATCAGTTCTTTCCATGTCATGTTTAAGACATCAGACATATATAACCATATGTGCTATGGTACTGGTATGGTACTAGCTTTCAAACATATTTCAAACCATAGATTATTTCCCTGCTGATAAAATCAATAGAAACCCTCACAGAATGTGGGTTTTAATGGCTATAATAGGAATTGCATTGGAAACTGTAATGGTCCGGTAATTTGTTGTCTTCTATTGGTGGCATGTTAAATCCACTAAATCCTAAAGGAATATGGCTTAAAACATACTACTGGACAGGGTTGCCAGGTCTGCGTAAACAAAACCAACCTAAAGACCAATCAAAAATAGCCTAAAACAAGCCTAATGAATAAAATCAAAACTCAACATATGCCACTCCCATGCCTATGTTTTACAGTCACTGTTATGCGTTCTACACAATTTCAACTTAAAAAATCACTAGTAATCATACACAGTCTGTTTTCATAAAGGAGCTCAAATGCCCCTCCCTCACAAAGCTCATAATCTAGTACAGTTTTATTAGTAGTAGAATGTCAAATATTTCAATACACGCATTTCAGTCAATGACAATTTATGCAATATGTCAAGTCTTTAAACCCGGGCCAACAGTTTGCGTAGCCGAATTCCACGAGAAAACCACAAACTTGGCTACACTGCACTGGAAACCATTGTTTAACAGCTGATGGTTTGTAATGTTTTGTAATGGTATTTATACTTCTGTGATGGTTTCTATTGTGTTTTCAGCAGGGTCATTTTGGCAGAAAACTGCATGGAAACCTTAAATCTACTATTTTGTTCTGTTTTGTTACATAAAGGTACATATTAGTACCCAGATGGTATAAGGTTACCAACCCACTGAGAGCTTTTGTACCCTTCTTTGGAGTAAACCACCCTAAACAGGCAGACTTTGTTGACAATATTTTAAAAACATTTTTCTTATCCTATAAACATGTGATTTTATGTTATTATACTAAGGATCATTATTCAAATGACACTGGTTTCATCATAAATTTTATCCTATTTTTATGTAAATTCCATATTCACAAATGCAAAGTTACAAATGGAAAGCCTCTTTTTACAATGTGAGAGAAGATTAAAGCTCAATTAGATTTAATTTCAAAAGCTAAAAACAGTAAAGCAACTAAAACAGATGCAATATGCTTTTTAATATTTCCGAATAAACATGTACATTTTCTATATTATTATTATACATAAGCGTCATATATAAATTTAAAATGTATATCTATAACTGATGCTGATGTATCCTCTCTCATTTTTTCTTTCTCTATTCTGCTGTTGTTGTTATGGTATGATGCATTCGAAATGTTTTCCTGTTGCAGCCTATTGTGGGATATGTTGTTGTAGCTACATGCTATTTGTTGATAATAAAGCATTAAAACAGACAGGTGTGCCACATTAGCAAGACATTATGAGTCTTACTCTTGTCTTCTTGAACACAGGTCATGATGTGGATGGGCAATGAAGGCTTTAATAATGAGTGCCCGGCAATGGCATTATAAAGTTAAATGGATCTGCCGCCATCTAGTGGACTTTACAAGTTTGTTTTGCTATTCGGCCCGAATCAGTTTTCTAAAGTGTTTTTGAAAAATCACATACCCTGCCTTTAAGAAAGTGCTGTGGTGTTTTTTTTTTTGCGCCATCTAGTGGTTTAGAGGAGAGGCTTTAACCCTGGTGAAACTTTATCCCCGCTGTAACCTACCTCTCACTGTTAAAGGGATAGTTCACCCCAAAATACACATTCTGCTATCATTTCATTACATTACATTTACATTTAGACATTTAGCAGACGCTTTTATCCAAAGCGACTTACAAATGAGGACAATGGAAGCAATCAAAATCAAGAAAAGAGCAATGATATGCAAGTGCTATAACAAGTCTCAGTTAGCTTAATGCAGTACACGATGTAGCAAGTTTTTTTTTTAAACCATATATTAAATAAAAAGAAAACAGATAGAATAGAAAAAGAATAAAGCATTGCTTTTGTTAATTATATAATAAATAAAAAGAAAACAAAGATAGAAAAGTGATTTTGTGCCTCTTTGGGTTGCTGTCCAGGAGGTTGTTCTGTGTGAGAAAGGCTGAGACTTGGTTGAACACAGCTCGTTCAAGTGTTTTTGCAATGAAAGCAAGAAGGGAAACCGATCTGTAGTTCTCTAAAAGAGATGGGTTAAAGGTTATTCATTTAGAATTTCACTCTCATGTCATGTCATTCATAAACATACAAGTTTGGACCGGGGCTGTCAACCTCCAAAAAACAAAACAAAACAAAACAAAGAACTTGAGCTATGACCCACCGGGTAAGAAGTGCTCACCTATCTGGTACATCCCTTATTATTTTGTCATTTCTCGGCAGGAATGTAGAACATGTTGTCCATGTTAATCATGTACTCACACAAGTAAACCGATATCCTTGTATGTGGTTTTTCAAGGAAACTAAGAAGTGTGATCAGAAAGATCAGAACCATTCTTCATATGCTTGTGTTCAGCTGGCAAAACCAGTCAGACTATAGAAGGAAGAAGAAAATGTCCATGTAGTTGTCTGTGTTTACTGCATTACTCACAGTGTCATTTCAACAGTCACTATGGCACATGCTGCGCTGCTGCTGCTGATCAGCTCAACCGTTTCTGTGGGTCCAGCCGTAAGTTTCTACGGGGCATCAATGACCTTCACGCCTGGAAACAGATATCCAGATGGAACAGTGGAGGTACGACCAGGTTAATATTAGAACTAAGTGAATATTTCTTTCATTGAATGACAATTTTCATTTGCTCTATTTTACTCAAAATGAAACATAACTGAGAACTCTGTCATCACTTGCTCACACTCATTTGGTTTTTAAACCCGTATGACTTACTTTCTTCTGTGAAACACAAAATAAGTTATTTAGAAAATGTCTCAGTGAAAGTTGTTCTGTTGAAATGTTGTTCTGAATGCATTCTTTATAATATCATGGATGGCTTATTTGCAATTGTGCAGAAAAATAAATGTCTGTTGTATGTGTTCCTGGCAGATGCACTTTTACTACAGAGAGTCTGGTAAACTGCCCTGTGATCCTGAAGTCTTATGGGTCTGTGATAGTGGCGACTGCGGCATTCTCACATACGCAGAACCTGACATAACGGATCAGGACCACTCGGGTCAGATCCTCTGGTGCCAGTCTGAGCGTCACATGACCACAAATGTCAGTGGTGATGAGCCCTTCACTCTGAGGTAAGAGCAATCAAGTCGTCCATCTAAAAAGAAGTACACTTAGTATATATTTAAAAAAAAGAATACTTAATAATATACTTTAAAAGAATAGATGTACAGTATAGGTGTGAACTGAATATAATGTTTTCAGACATTTAAAATGCATGTTATTTACAATCCAATGAAAATGTATTATATTTTAAATATATATTAAATACAATTACACTGTGAAAAGTTGTAAACTGCAATTGTGACCTTAAAGAGCTATTTCTACCTTATTTTACACATAAAATGCAGTTTTGTTGGTATAAATTAGGATGATATTAAATATTTTACTACCATTTACTACCATTTTTTTCAGTGTGGTTGATCTTTATATGGAATTTCATAAATAGTTCAATTGTGTTTGATATGATTAAAGTGTTCTGTAGAATGTACTTAATGTCATTTCTCCTGAAACTTGGATATGTGCAACTGCACATTTGCAATAACGATAAACTAGTAAAATATGTTAACTATATAATATTGAATAACACACTGCAGTTAAAATTGTAATCAAGTGCTTTTAAGTCAAAACACCAAAAGTGTGCTTCTTTAAAGCATGACAAATTATAACATTATGATTTAAATTTTTACTTTAAAGTAAAACTGTTTAAAAGTGTACTTAAGTGTGTTAAGAAACATTGTCATGAAAGTGAACATTTGACGTACACTACAAGTGCACATTCAATGCAATTTAAGCACACTTCATCTTTGAGAGTTGCTTTTTTTTATTAATTTAAATTCATACTCAAGTGTTATTTGACAGCATCTTAAATGTAAAGACTTTTACATACGTACAGTTACAGTTTGTAAAGTAAAACACATTTTTAATAGCAAATGTATTGCCTTAAAGAGCTATTTCTACCTTCTTTTGCCCATAAAATGTAGTTCCCTTGTTTTGAGAGAACTTTATGCTGCATTGATGCTATGGGAACCCCTTCAGTGTGTCTGGTGTCTGAAGCACATGTGAAAACACACCCATTTTATTGACTGATAGTTGTCATATCCTCCTGGGACCCAGGCATAGACCTTTGTCCAGTGTAGAATTTCTCTGAGACCATACATGCCTCAGTTTTGTCCTGTACAGAGCACATTCAGGGCTTTTTAGAGATGTCAAATGTTTGGAGGTTTGATCATAAACGCACATTCTGCTTGGTCTTTAAAAATGACTGATACTGACAGTATGATCAAATTTAGCACTCTTAGGGAAATATGAAAATATTTTGTAATTATCATTTAAATCGGACTAATTTTCAAATTGCCTGTCGTAAATAATCGTCGTGCCACTGTCGCCTTTGGCTTGCTTAGTTGGGGACGCTTGACTGATTGCATAGACACTATTGGAAGAGAGCTGAACTGGATGAAGACATCACTGAATCATCAATGAACTGGAAAAAATGACTCTTTGTTATTGTCCTCTTGCATTATCGACAAACTATTTTCCTGTTTGACACTGTAAAGCTGCTTTGACACAATCAGTATTGTATAAAGTACTATAGCTAAATAAAAATAAAGGTGACAAATAAACATGTTATGGGGTTTCAAATCAGAATATGACTTTTTGTTATGAAACGGGATAATTTTCATACATATCTTCTGTAGAGGAGGACACCAGAACAAATGGCATGTTAATCAGGCATTTTGGGGTCAATAGGGAAAGAAATTATAGATCAATATTCCTATGAAATATGAGATATTCTTATGAAAATGTTGCCAAGTTATTACTCCCATTACAACACTTCTTTTTTCGTTATGGTTTGCCCCAAGAACACATTAATATGCAAATTACATGCAATGTAAAGATACATTGTATAGAATGGGAATACCAACTTATGGACATTTTACACAAATATTGCATACATTACAATAGTATATAAAATCATTCTGTTATATATTTCATAACATAGTTGAGAATTATCCTTGTAAGTTTGGTTAAAAATAGACTGAAACCTAAAAACTGATTGGTGAATGAAAATGAATTTTGCGTATACATGCCTTTTCATGTCTATTTTTATTTTTTTTAATAACTTAGTCCTGGTGTTCTCTACAAAGGACAGAGAATAAAATATGAATAAAATATCTTTTTTCAAAAATGTTTTTTCTCCATTTGTTTCTTATGCTCCAACCAATGTAATGACAAAAAATATGTAGTAATGGAATGTTTTATCATTTAAACTCTTTCAGAGGCTCTGGTTGCTGTTGGGCAAATAATGTTCATGATGTCCGTCGATGGACACTTCGCAGTCTTGTTGACACAGGACAACGTTCAGACACTCGGACTACAAACAGGTCGCCTGTTTCAGCAACAATACCAAACATAAGGTGTGTGCTTTTGATAATGACAATTTATCCCTAGACTCTATAGACTTTATCCAGAGCTTTCTGGAATACTTGATGTTGAGTGGTCTTCTACAGTCAAATATGTTTGTGACCACCAAAGTGTGCAGAATATTTCGTTGTCTACAGCAAGAAAACTTTCAATTGTCTGTGATAACGGTCCTTCTTCAGGGTTCCTCAGAACTGTTTTCAGAGTCTTCACCTCCTGGTCTATGATCCAGATGGAGATGATGTGAGATGCAAGTGCCAATCTTGCCATCAACACCCAAACATACATCTCGATGAGGTGACATTTTCTGATGATACACTCCCATGAAATATTCAGATGCAGATTACACAGGCAAATTAACTTTACCATGGCAATTTAAATAGCCTGTTTTAATATTATGGATCACAGAAATGTTGAATATAAAAATATTACTATTTCATTCAATAGAGATAAAAACATATCCCTTTAACAGTAACTCTTTTAGCCAGTATTTGTGTGTGCTGTGCATTCTTTGTGCTTATTGGAGTATCACATTGTAAGCTTAGTTACACATATTAACGGCAAATCAAAAAATGCTATCACATCAAACCAGTGACCCATTTTGATTCATTTTAGTATCATGACCAACCAGTTGAGAAGCACTGATTTAATTACTTAAATTACTGAATGTTTGAATTTCTTGACAGGAATGAAGAACATGTTTTCCATGAATAATCTTAATCTTTATCATTGACCCACATCAGGAAATAATATTAAAACTGATACTGTTCAATTCGTGTGGGGTGTGACTCAGCGTGAATGACCATTAACAGACCTGCTGCCTACAATGTTTCCCATGTCTTTTAGTTTAGTTTATTTGTCCATGTTCTACACTTTTGAAAAACTTTTCACATTTTTTACAACTTAAATGGTACATTTTTTCAATGCACTAAACATGTGATCTGATTTTTTCTGCATCTAGGACTCGTGCACTTTGAGTAGTAATGGCACACTGGACCTGAGACTGCATGTTTTTGAGTTCACGCTGGAGGATTATCCTGCATCAAACATCACTTTGATGAATGGCGATGGGATCTCTTTCAGAAATCCTTATAATCAGACTGCCAGCGCTAACCCAGCTCCACTCAGTCAAGTGCCTCTGCAGTTTGGAGTAGAAAGTGAGTGAGAATCATGTAGATCAGTGGTTCTCAACCTTTTTAAATTCTGTCCCCAATTGTCCACAACAATATTTGAAGGTCTGACACACTGTAGTTTCTGTAAATTATTAAGGATTCCAGACGTTGAGCTGAATGTTTATCAAGGTTCCCATTCTTTTTAAACAATGCATGTACACTTTCAGTCATTTGTGATTTATTGGATAAGAATTAGGGATTGAAAAAAAAAGAAACACTAAAATATTTTAGAGCTTGGCTTAAAAAAAGTCTGCGCATTTACAACATTCTATCCCGTTTCCACTGTTTTGCAGTCCAAACACCAGTCCACAGTTGTGAACCAGGGGTGAACAGGCCAAGTTTTCTGACACCAACTCCCTTACATGGAGATGTTCAACATGCAGCTGTGGGACGTGTTCACACTATCACTATACGTGCCCAGAATTTGGGCCACAGGTCTGAAATACGCATGGTCCTAAAATAAACGAAACAAATTCAAGCACAACTACTGACCAGAGGGAAAGTCTATAGTGTACACATGCAACACATGCATTTATCATAAACAGGTGACTTTTGTATAAATTCAGAAGGTCTATCAGTTGCAGACCCACTTCTGTGGGTTTCAACAAAAGCAACCTCAGTTGAATCTGTAATAATAGCATGACAAAACGGATTTGGCAAACGCTCCAGTGCACATTTGTATTTGCACTCTAGAGAGCATAAAAGGTTTCTATTTACAGCAGGTTTTTGCATTGAGAGGCATGTCTGTTGATTTCTTGAAAGCAATGGCCAATCAGAGGTGTTTAAAGAATCCACTTAATAGCACTCAAAATACCAGAAGACCAGAGCTCAGAGAGCTCACCAAAGCTTGTTCAGTGCTCAGTTGCATGCTCACAAATCCTCTCATTATAACAAAAAAACAAACAAACACAAAAACAAACATGATATAGCCTAAATAAGGAATTCATTATTGCTGCTAAAATTATGGTCATGTACATGCTGCAAAGTTACAGAAATGACATCCACATTTAAATGACGGATTTACATTTGACGAACAATGATAACCATAGCAATGGACAGCACAAAAATGATTGTATTTTAAAATAGATGTACATTAAGCAATTTAATACAGACTAATAGATTAAAATTTAAATATTCTAATATAAAATATATGCTGTATATATAAATTCTGTTGCAATTAAAAGTAAAAGTAATTAATTTAATCTTGTAATCTTGTAAAGATCTATTGCTAGATAAAGCTGTTGAAATGCTCCGCATAACTAGATAAAGTTGTCTGACATTGTAAGAATCCACCCGCCGGCCCAAAAAGCGGAATCCAGCGGCCTGGTCGAAGGTTTATTACGCATTCGGTCTTTTACTTGCGCCTCTTAATTTATCAGGATTTAGTTTCAATTTTAGCCTAGCTCCGTTTCAATCTGATCACTAAATGTAGGCAATGTTCCTAATTAAAAACTGATCACAAATATCGATTGTTTATTCATTTAGATATTTGAGTATTCTGGAAATCCCATACTTTCAATTATTCGTTCATTAGGAACCAGGTATCGCACAGGAATTGCACTCGGCCGATTAGTGAACCCACGGACACAAACTCGTCAGTTCTGAACTCACTCAGAGGATGCAGAGTGATTATAATACCTTTAAGTGAGCTGCACCCTGCATGCTCATAACAAAAAGTGAATTTTTTCCTATAACCACGAGAGCTACACTGTGTTAAGCCAGTGACAGTCAGAAATCGGAAGCCCCTAATGGTGTTCCCCATGGTTCATCCATTGGTGCCTTGGTATGTAAGAGGCAGAGAGGGCAGGGGGGAGAAGGGGCTCGTAAATGAGCAAGGAGAGAGGTGTTGTTTGCTCTCTTTGGAGATCCCTTCTCCAGATTAGTTTTTTGGTTTTGTTGCATGGCATCTGTTTTGTGTGAGTTCCTAAGATTTGGTTTCATGAGGAGATAATATCATAAGGAAATAATTTCACTCCTTACAACATGCACACTTGATCATTTTAGTTTTAACCAACCGGTTTTACATGCTTCAGTTACTTAGTAAATGTTATCTAATCTTTCTATCACTCTTGTGTAGTACATTTGATTTCCAGGTCAGTGGACCATGGAATATGTCAAAGACCTTGAGAAATGCAAGTCAAGGAATTGCTGAGGCAACGCTGACCTGGACACCACAAGAATCTGACCTGCACCATCATGTACCCGTGTGTTTCGCTGCAGAGACACTTCAGAGGTAAAAAGAGGTCTGTCCTTAAGCTCATTGGGAATTCATGATATGAATTTTTCCATGACCTGTTATTTGTCTTTCTCTCCATAAAAAGTCAGTCAGAAATGAGGTGCATCGTGATTGTTGTGGCAAAATTGAGGGTTCTCTCAGGTAAAAAAGATTTCTTAAATGTAAACAGTTGCTCATTTTCCCAGTTTCTGTCATTGATTTTGTATTGTGATATATCTAGTTCAGTGATGAAACTCTAGATTTAGGTCCTTTACATGCAGTTTGCTAGCAATCTCATCATTTAATACATTACACAAGCCGAATGGCCTGTAATTGATCCTTTGAAACCCTCCACCTCCCCCAGCACCACCTGTCTAGATGTGCTAATAGATTTATGTATGCTTAATATAATATCTTACATGCTCACAACAGCATGTCTGTGTATCTATTAGTAGTAGAAAGTCTGTACTTGCTATAGTCCACCAAGACCAGTACATTAACAATGTCATATTCATTAACATGCAAGCTGTTGAAATAAATGTTGTCAGTTTTTCAAGCAGATTATTCCCCAAATAATCCCCACTCCAATGTTATGATTTGGATTTTTCTTCCTGTCAGTGCATTGATAATACCTTGCTATTTTTATTGTTGTTATCATTTTATTAAGATTAATCAATAAATGAATCACATCTCTCAAGGTGAAGCAGAGGTCTTCTGTGAGGATAATAGTATCAGCATTGCAGTAAGCAAAGCCTCTATGAAGGGGATTGATCAAAACTGGCTCCAACTGAGAGATCCCACCTGCTCTCTTACTTACAATGACACCCATATCCTGGGCACTGTGTCCCTCAACACCTGTGGTACCAGGATGGAGGTACAAAAACCAATGTCTAATACAATCCAATCTAAATACAATAATTGATAGTCAGCCGTATACTATTTAGCACTGTTTTCTCTTTCTGCCTGATCTTTTCACATGCTTGCTTCTTCAACACCAATCAGGACACAGGAGACTTCTTGGTCTTCAAAAATGAGATCAATTCTTTTGAGGACCTTAATAAAGTAATCACCAGACGCAGTCAAGTTAAAATAGGCTTCTCCTGCCAGTACCCCAAAGTGGCCAGTGTTTCTAACCACTACATCAACAAGAAGTCTGACTACATCTTCACTGAATCCAGCTTTGGCACTTTTAGTTACTCGTTTGATATTTTTACTAACAATAACTTCAGCAGTCGGGTAGATCCCAGTCTGTATCCACTGGAGATAAAATTGATGGATATGCTCTACATGGGTATTGCAGCTCATTCTGCTCTCCCTGAGGTCCGGCTCTTTGTGGAGTATTGCAGAGCCACTCCAGATGACAACCCATACAGTGCCCTATTTTATGACATCATTAAAGAAGGGTGAGACTGCTAAAAACCTTACACCACGGTGTCAAACTCAATTCCTGGTGGGCTGCAGCCTTACAGACTTTAGTTCTAACCCTGCTCCAACACACATACCATGTAGTTTTCAAATAAGCCTGAAGGACTTGATTAGCTGGAATTAGGGTTGAATCTAAACCAGGGATCTCCATCCCTGCTCCTGGAGAGCTACCGTCAGAGATTGTCTTACTATTGGGAGATGAAAGGGTCTGTATTACTTACAGTACTATTGGAGAAAGCGTAACGGTCAACTTGGATCACGTGGGCCTTAATAACCAATCACATTACAGCGACATTTAGAATCAGAGTTGTGCGACACTCAATCGCCGTTTACGATTACCATAGGAATTCATTAGAAGTGCTGTAAGCCGAATCCCATCTGTCGCAAAAAGTCAGTGACTTCTCTTATAAAACGGCTTTTTTTTTTCTCGGTGTGAAATAAAAATAGTTCAATCCAAAAGTATTGTTTAGTGTAAAATATGTTGAAGATTAACCGACAGGCTGTCGATTCATTAAATGATAAGCTGTTTCCTCTAAAAAGCTGTTTATTCAGCGTAGTGAAGCCTCTCCCTCCATTGACATCCATTAGAAAAAACGCCCTCTGGTCTCCCTTCCCTCGTACTGCGGAAGCGTTAGCATTAGCCATTGCGCTTTTTTGGCTAAAGGTTGCAGGCTTGCCTTCTTGCCAAGTAAGACATGTTCCTGGATCAACATCTTTTGTTGATCCTGGATCAACATTACTGTCCAAAAATATAGACCCAACCCAATCCCTACCCCTAAACCTAACCCTACCAATAATTTATTCCTAAAATCAGAGGGACATGATAAGTGAATAACAAGGGCGTAGAAGCATCTAACCCTGGTTGTAAGCCTAAAACTGGCATTTCTTGAAAACGTATCCCTCAATTCTAATTGGTTGATTGGAATGTTGTTCCAGGATCAACAAGGAGGTTGATCCAGGAACATCTTGTACTTGGTGAAATCACGTTCCCCGAACACATTGATTAGCTGGTTCAGGTGTGTTTGATTGAGATTGTAGCTGAAGTCTGCAGGACGGTAGCTCTCTAGGAGCAGGGTTGGAGACCCCTGATCTAAACTCTGCAAGGCCGTGGCCCTCCAGGAGTGTGACACTCCTGCTTTACACTAAAGTGTGGTTAAAAAAAATCTGTTCCACGTCAATCTAATTATGTGGGAAAAAAGATATGGATTTCAAATGTTTGGAATAATAAAGTTTTTTTTAAATGCTTCAAAAACATTAAATAATCTTAATTATTCCAAACTTTTTTAACTGGTAGTGTATTTATATATTAAACATCTGTGATTATATTGCATTACTGGAAACTTTGCAACATGCCTGCCTAGGACACTGATTAGACTTATTTATACTGTTTTCCATTACATATATACATACATATCATAATGATTTCTCCCTTATTACTTTCTCATAACCTATTAAAGGGATAGTTCACCAAAAAATGAAAATTCTGTCATTAATTACTCACCCTCATGTCGTTTCAAACCCGTAAGACCTTCGTTCATCTTCGGAACACAAATTAAGATATTTTTGATGGAATCTGAGAGCTGTCTGACCCTCCCATAGACAGCAACGCAACTGCGTCACACGGATACGCTGTTTCCTTCAGAACAACGTAGGAAACAGATCCGGCGTGACGCAGCTGACACAGAACAGCATACGCTGTTTACGTCCAGCGGATATTCTCCAAAATGGCACCAGGGTGATGCG